TGAGCCAGCAAAAAACTCACTCTCAGGAATATTCTTTTCCCAAATAGCCAGTTACCTGATGTGGACAAAAATATTCCCTTTTCCCTGCTTCTCTGTTTTCATGACATTGCAAGTGACAACGACAGTAAGTACAAAAGAGAAGAATTAACTGACAATCAGTACCTTGAATGTGTTGAGCACCTTTTTGGTAAAGCTCATGAGACACTGTCCTCCTATAGTGAACCTCCTCCCCTACTCATCCCTCAACTCCTGCTCCCACCTTTTGGCCCAGCAACCCTGGTCAGGCCATGAAGGAAAAGTATAGTTCAGTTTAATTTTTTTTCGCAAGCTGGAGCTTTAATCAAGCAGGAGCCCCATACAATTTCCCACATTTTTTTCAGTCTTATAGAGATATAATTGAGATATAATAAATGGTAACATATGGCTAGTGTACAACATAATGATTTGATTTATGTATATATTGTGAATGGGCTCCCACAGTTGAGTTAATGAACCCATCCACATCACATCACAAAGTTATCTTTTGTGTGTGTGTGTATGTGTGTGTGTGTGAGAGAGAGAGAAAGATAGAGACTTAAGTTCTACTCTCTTAGCACATTTCAATTATACAATACAGTGTTATCAACTACGGTCATCAGGAAAGAAAATACTTCCTTTTTAAAAAAGATTTTATTTATCTATTTGAGAGAGAGAGCAAGCACGAGTGGGAGGAGGGGCAGAGGGAGAGGGAGAAGCAGGCCAAGGACACTGGTCCCTTCTTTCGGTCACCCTATAATTATGAGGGCAGCTGCCCGAGGGAATATTCTGGACTCAGGTTCCTCTCACCATCTATCACCCAGGCCAGGAAAATGCAGGTTACCACACTGACCCGTGGCCCCATCTCGGGCCCTCCATACTCCTCTGTCCCCTGACCCTGCAGGCCTGCCAGAAGTCACCTGGTACCCCTGAGCGTTCACACATGCACTGGCAAGGCTCAGCGATCTCTCCCAGTTGGGCTCCTTCTCCAGACCCAGGATGAGATGTTTCCCTCACCCTAGAATCCTGTACCCTGCCTGCTCCACCAGGCCTAAGTATCAGACCCCACCCATTGTACAAACACCCCTAATCTGATCCAGGCAAAGGAGGAAAACAGAGGGGGGTATAGTGGAAATGATGTGGGATGTAAGATGTATACCTTTATTCTTCATTCCAGCTCCATTACTTCCCAGTTTCGTGACTGTGGGCTTTTCGTTTCGACAAAGCCTCCGTTTTGTCACCTGTCAAATGGGGTGATAATCACATCTGTCCTTGCTATTTAACTACGGTGTTATATAAACCCCTCAAAAGAATGGGAGAAACTACTCATTTTCACCATTGGCATTTTATAAAGATAAATGTTAAGTCCATGTCTTTCTCTAGCAGCAATAATAGCACCCACAACCCTCACGTTTACTGCCTGATCACTGTGTTCCAGGGTGTGTGACGTGCTTCACAAAGATAAACTCATTTAATCCTCACGGCAGCACTATGAGGTAGATATCACCATTATCTTCAGTTTTTAGAAGGAGAAACTAAGGTTCAAAAGATTAAGGGCTTTGCCAAATACTGCAACTAGTGAAGAGGTAGAGGCAGACTTTGACCAAGGCAGACTGCTTCCAGAACTCCATACGTAGGTGTCGAATTGAATCAGATATTGAACGCATAAAACCTGCGGTGACATGGATTGGGAGCCCTGCTGGGAGGTGGTGCACTTTGGCCACTAGACCAGCCTAGGCCCACTGGGAGAGAGGGGGTCTGAGGTGGAAGGAGAGGCAGAATGTGATTGTACAGTCCTTTCTGTATTGTCTTCTTCCTTTTTAGGTAAGGCTGGGATTCTAGTGAAAGTCATCACTATTTTGAAAATCATTTTCTTAAAAATTTTCTTGAGTGCCACGCCCCAGGCACTCCATTCAACCCTGGACCAATCTCCGTGGAAGGTCATGAGCTGGAGAAAGTGTTCTCCCGGCCCTCAAGGAGTTTCTAGTCAAAATAGGCAAAGAGAGCCAGCCGCAGTGGGTCCCCAAAACTTCTTCTGCTCTAGCCTCTCCCTATGCACCTCCGGGCACCCTCCTCTGGGCCTCCCTGACTAAAATCCTATCCCCGCTCCAGCCCTGCCAACTCAACAGCACAGACAGGGCTCTTTCCACCTGAGCTGGAGAGATATGTAGAGATAATCTCATTCTATCTCCTTGGGAAGAGAAATGACTAGTCTGATGTTGCACAGCAATTGCCCCCAAGGTGAAGGTCAGGATTTAAGTCTCCCAACTCCTGGTGAAAGGCCTCCCCCTCCTCACAGCAAAGAGGAGCTTGAGTGTCTCACTCAAGCAGGCTTTCTGGAGGGGGTGAGCTGTCCAAGGACTCTCATTTGAGTTGAGAGGGAAGAAAGAGTGTGGTAAAGGGGGGAAAGGCGGAAAGAAGCTCATTTGAATTCAGACCAGGACTCACAGGTAGAAAAAGGGAGGGAACCACCGGAGGAAGGGTGTCCCAAATACTCTGCCACATCATCAGGATGTAAATACTTAGCCCAGTTCCCAGTGGAAATAGAGCTCATAAAACCCTACTGTCTGCGCCCATCTCCCTTTTGAAGCCCAAGACCTGACAAGTCAGTTACCAGATTAGGTGGAAGATGAGCAGAGGTAGGAGAGGTGTGTCCCAGATTCTGGATTAGTCTCCTGTGACACTTAGGAGGAAAGGAGACTCCAACCCCCAAAGCTGGCCCCTCACTCCATTAGTTGCTTACAGCCAGATTTCTTTCAGGCCTCAGGCCCATGTCCCTCTGAGCAGGCTCATTTTGCTATTGGAGCCCAACATGAAAGTAACATGTGTCTGAGTAAATTGGAAGAGAAGGGCTTCGTCCCAGATAGAGTAGAAGTGAGGAGTGTGAACCATAGGTGGAGTGAGAGACTCATACCACCAATAGTCTCAGCAATTAAGGTAGTTGGGAATAAAAGCTGCCACGTTTCCTGCCTCACCTTCTTTCCCCTCAGAAAATTATCCGAATAGCTCACTGTTCCTGAAGGCTTTACACAGTACATGAATTGGGGAGCGGAGGCCCGTTTTCTATGCCCACCCTGGATCTTATCTGTTTCCTTACCTATATTGGGGGCTCAAAATCACTGATATTAAGGCTCCGTTCCAGCCCTAAATGTCTGGGAGACTAGGCCCTGTTTAAGGCTATGTTCATGTCTGCATAGTAAATATACCCTAAAACAGCCAAGCCCCTTGCTCTTCCCCTTCCTGGCTGGCACCCTCACCTCCGCAGACTCTCCCACCTAGCCAAGGCTGCGTCGGCCACAGCACCCTTGACTGGTCAGCCTCAGCTACTGTCTGTCACCCTGTGGCCCGCAGCCTTCAGAGCTCTCTCTTCCCACAGCCTCAGACCTGGGGCCAGCTGGTCTGGGATCAGGTGAAACGATCTATTCCTTATTAATGCCTCCCCTGCATTGCTCAAAGTCACCTCAATAGCCTCAACTAAGGCCTCACCAAGGCTTTGAAGCTAAAGTAAAATGAAAGAGAAAAGAATCTCCCAGGATTTCTTTTTCTGAGTTGTTTTAAGCCACGTCTGCTGCATCGAATACCACATACATATGGCTTGACCTGACCCAACCAAAGCTACCAACTCCCATTTGGGCAACTCTGGCCAGTCTAATCCCAACCCCAAGAGCCCAGCCCTTCCTCAGCTCCACGAAGCTCCAGTGAGGTGACAGGCCTTTGTGGGGAAGAGGCTGAAATCATCCCAAGCACAGGGGAAGGCTGCCCTGATTGGGATGTCCAGGGCTAGGGCATCTCAGAGGGCTGTTGGATGTGGGGCCTCCGTATCTGCTGAATGTGTTGGGGAATTTCTCTGATGGAAGTGGAGAAATGTTCTGTGAAAATAGTGGTTGTTTATTTTGGAGATCACTTTATAGTCCTCCAGATACTTCCCCAGATCCTCTTCTTCAGCCTTCATTGAGAACTCCTGCTGGGGACTTAGGGCTTCAGGGATATAGAGTGTCCATGACCTGGGTTGAGCTAAGGGAATTCGGCCTTGGAAGCTCAGAGCTGCAGACAGCCTGGATGGAACTCAAGAGGCTCAAGCTGATTTGCCCTGAGGAGAAGGTACCTCAGATCAGAGCTCTTGTCAGAAGAGGGTTAGGGGGTGGGGGCGGGTAGCTGTGGGAAAAGCTTGTTAAGAGTGGCTTTTTCTGGGAAAGAGAATTTTCCACAAATCCCGCTGTCACCCTCCTGGCAATATCACAGTCCCCAGATCTGGCAAATATTTTCTGAGAACATCACGCCCACACCCTGTCTCCAGGGCTAGCCCCTCCTGTTTCTGTTCTTAAAGACTTCCAGAAAAAAAATATGTATATATATATATATATCCTTGGCTTCTCGCAGCCACACTGCCTCAGGGCAACATGTCCCTGCTCCAGGAAGCTTCTTTTCTATCATTTCCCAATCTCTCCCTTTTCTGGTATCTTAAATCAGACAGGTAATGAGTAATAGCTCCTGGCTACCCACTTCTGCCAAAGCTTGACATTAAACACACACTGCATGTTATAAATTGCAAATGAAGTTTATTGTGCAGACACCAAGACCACAGCACTTTAGATGCAGAGCCAGCAAGGTGGGCTATATACACAGAAACATGTTTCCCTGGGGGCAGGGCCACGAGAAAGGTGCAGGCTTTGAGATGGGGCCCTCAACAGAACAGTCATCAGGAGAAGGACCACCAAATGGGCAATGCAAGGAGGGGCCGGGAAAGGGGGCACGGCTGGATGTACAAGGCCAAGCAATGCAGAGTCTTCCCTAGGGCTCAGAGCGTGTCACTGGCTCCCACTAACTGGTTTGGAGAGAAGGTATTTCAAACATGGTGTGTGGGCATCCTTTCCCTCCAAGATGCCACCAGAGGTGGATGACAAGCTTTGACTTGCTGTCGATTGGATGTACAGAGACAGGCTTCTACATTCTAAAGTGGAAGAGTCAAGAGGGGAACTCCATCCTTATCTAAAAGAGAAGGTCACGCTGGAACCGTAACCTTCACCTGAGCCAGAACCACCCTTTTCAGAGCTGGAACCTCCTCTAGAGCCACCTCCAGAGCCGTATCCCCCTCCAGAACCAGAGCCTCCCCCAGAGCCAGAACCTCCTCTGGAGCTGCCGCCAGAACCATATCCTCCTCCAGAGCCGGAACCTCCTCTGGAGCCGCCTCCAGAACCATATCCTCCTCCAGAGCC